GTTTTCTTGCACTCCTACATGACTATATACCAATAAAAAAAATTGTTTTTGTTTGTTTGTTTTGTCTAATTAGCAAACACGGTGCGTAGTTGTTCATTTTAACAATGGCCATCTGTGCAGTTCAACTTTCAATTTTGCTTTAAGTTGACGTTGCTTTCCAAACACAGCAGAAATGCAGCTCTGTCACGCTCTGTCCAAACACACCACATCCACATTTTGCTTTCTGTCTCTAATTTTTTGCTCATTAAACTGATTTCTACATCAGAGTGATGCAAAGTTGATCTGTGTTAACGCAAGGAATCCTTTAAGTCATTAGCAAAGAGTATTAATGAGTCTAACGCTTCGAAGCCCCCCACAGACTAAAGAGTGTGTGATGTAGAGGGGATGAGGGCACTAATTCTCCAAAGTGCCCTAATAAATAGCGGATTAGCAAAGCCTTCCATTAGCCAAAGCCTTGATGATGCTAAGCTAATGTACTTTAGCTAAACTAACGCAATGGAGCTAAAGTATTAGATAGCATGACCACTATGATTTGGATGTGGAGTCCGGATAATGTTTTTCATGGAAGATGAATGGCATATTCAGCTCAGCTATACATGGAGGAATAGATTCTTGTGACATTACATTCTTCATGTAAATCACGTTTCACTTTACCTCACATACCCTAAGGCATGCATGTGCTTAAACATTAGGTTACTGCTGGATTGAGAATGAATCTTGGCTCTTTGATTTTAAGAACAATGACCATGATTAAGCAGCATACTGAGATTCAGTTAAGTTTAATCATATATTGTTACAATTTAATTAATTTCTCAAAATTGTGGATTTGTACAATGCACTGTTAGGTTGAAACTACTTTGGCTTCAACTCATTAATCATCCACATCAATGACCAGAAAAAAAAGAGACTAATTTATCCCCTTTGGCTTTTGCTAAGAAAAAAATAATAATTTATTACATGTTTTGACTGTCAAAAACACAGTTTTGCTTCACATAATTAAAGCAGCTACCTACACTTTAAAGCAATAATTCAGATCTTTTTGATGTGGAGTTTCTTGCCTGTATTTAAGCATTCTATCAATTTCACATTGCAATGTTTTTTTTTTTTTAACCCAGAATTTTGTAGGTTTGAATGTTCGTTGAGCGGTAGCACCTAGCTGTAGCAGTTCCAGTGCAGCCTGGGGAACGTTTAACAGGAGTATTAGGTGATTACTTTTTGGGGGGGGGGGGGGTTATGTAGTGCGAAAATAATGTGCTATGTGTTATCATTGTATGTTCCCATACAATGGTAAAATTAGTTCTCTGCATTTAACTCATCGCACATGTGGAGTAGTGGGGCAGAGGTTCGAGAAGGTGAGCCTGTGATTGGAAGATCGCTGGTTCAACTCTCATTAGCGACAACATTAAAATGTGGGTGGGATAGGTGAAGCACTCACACCTGTCTCCACCCACATTTGCCCCACTCTGGGCCCTTGAGCAAGGCCATTAACCCCCATTATCTGCTCCCCTGGGCACCCTAGTTAGCAGCTCTCTGCTCCACACAGAGGGCTGTGGTACCTTAGTGGTCTGTGGTTGCGTCAGGAAGGGCATTTGGCGTAAAAACAATTGCCAAGTCTTCGTGGGATGTTGCTGTGGCAATCCCTGAAGAAGGGAGCAGCCGAAAGAAAAAAAAACAACTAATCACACCTGAGATACACCCAGGTGGAGCAGTGGGCAGCTATCTAAGTGCCCAAGGAGCAATTGGGAATTGGACGTCTTGCTCAGGGACACCACAACATGTGGGAATGGCGGTGAGTCAAACAATGGCTTTCTGGTCCCAAGTCGGCTGCCCTGCCTCTACCCCGTCTTGGCCCCTATGAAGTTGAAACACGGCAACAAAAGCTACTTATGGGACAGATCTGGTTGGCAGGCCACAGACTGATGAAGTCTTCCAGATGAAAGACAAAACGTTTCTCCCTTAAAGAAACTGGTCCAGATGAAACGATTGAACTTTTTTTGTTATCTACCTGGATGATTGAGCCTACAAACCTTTTTTTTTTTTTTTTTATTAAAAATTATTATACAAGAGCATGGCAGCATGATGACGCAGTTGGTAGAGCTTCTGCCTCTCAGCGAGCAGGTCGCCCCGGTCCAAATCCCGGCCGGGGTCCTTTCTGGGAGGAGTTTGCATGTTCTCTCTGTGCATGCACAGGTTTTCCCCGTGTACTCCAGCTTCCCCACACAGACCAAAACATGCATGTTAGGTTGACTGGTAACTCTAAATTGTGCCTAGGTGTGAGTGAGAGAGTGAATGGTTATTTCTCATTTGTCTCTGTGACCCTGTGATGGACTGGAGACCTGTCCAGGGTGTCCCCTGCCTCTTGCACAGCGATGGCTGGACATGGGCACCAGTGGCACCAGCAACCCCGGTGACCCGAAAAGGAAGAAGCGCGTAAAGATAATGGATGGATGGCTACATAAGAGCATTCTAGTTTAAATAAGATAATGTTCACTTGAAGTGCTATGACAATTTGTCAAATATATGTAGTTATATGGTGATGTACATCTTTAGAAAAAAAAAATCAGTCATGCTTTAACTTGCATTCATTATTTAAACACACTAAATAAAATTTAAAAAAAAATGTTGACCATACTTTGCATAATTAAAACAGGCAAACGCGCAACATACACAGTTTTGTGTTTTTAGCCTGAACAGCATTTTGATCAGCTGCAGTTATTTTAAAAAACGCTGTAGAGAAACACTTCAATTTAACGGAGAACTTGGTAAAAATATTTTAATCAACCACATTGAGATCAAACTCATTTGGGTTCTTTTGTTCAGCCCATCTCATTTAAGAGTCGCTGCCTTGTTGCACAGCTTTAATGTTGTTGTTTTTTCTTACATGCATGAACACATATAATGTTTTATTCTGCCTGTCTCAGCACCATACGTCTGTCTCCCCAAGCTCTTTCTTGTAGACATTTTGTTTGTTTGTTTTACTTTCTGTTCTTATTTCTTTCTTTTAGCTTTATTTCTGCTCTGTCAACAGAAAAGTCCCCGTGGCATTAAACAGTCTGAATGTGAGCTTTGCAGTGTTTATTATACATCACATTTGCACAATGTGTGTAGGTGTGTGTTTTCCACTTTATATTAAAAGGGGTTTTGACTACATTCGGTATCATCCAGTGTATCTGTGACAATGCTTTTGTCTCCTAGAAGTTAAATCTAAAATCAAACACTCCTAATACTGAAAGTCACAGTGAAGACTATGAGAAGACATGAGTGAAAGAGAGATAGAGATGGATGAAGGATGGATAGAAGTAACAAAGGCGCGAAGGCAACGTGTAGGTGGTCATTGGTTTAAACCTATGAACTGAAAAATAAATACATAAAGTGAAAAGTGTTGACAGATACAAAGATTAATGTAATAACACAATGTCAGAAGTTTGTGTTACCATGAGCAAAAACAAGAAACGAGGGGGGAAAAGTGGACTGGTGAAGATGGTGAAAATTAAAGGTCTGTAGGTGTAAAAGAAAAAAAAGTGACGAAGGGGGTGTTTAAACAGAGGTGGCAGAGGAGACATGACTTCAAACTGAGGACAGCACATTGCATCCTGTGGTGCTGTAAGGCAATTAAAATGAAAATCACGGCAAGACTGTGGCTATGAAATGATTGGGACTGAAAGGTAAGCGCTCAAAGGGGCTATTTTGGACAAGAAGTGAGATAACAGGAGAGAGGGGTGGAGGTGTTTTGGAGGCCCGAGAGGCAGGGGAAGGTAGACCACAATGCCTTGGTGCTGAGGAAGGTTCAGGCAGCAGAGCACAAACAACCGGAAGATTGATGATAATCTCTGGCAAGAAGATGGCATGATTTATTCAAGCTTCATTTTCTGTTTCAACATTGCATGGTTACTTTGGACTTTTATAAATTTGTTGCATTTATATACATGGATGCTTTTGTTTGCAGTCATTATATTGCATTATTAAAACATGTATTTTTATTCTATAATAATGAAAATGAATTGTTCCAGCTCTGGTTCTGTGCCTATTTTTATATGTATTACTTCCAGCTCATCTCTAAATAACCTGGAGAATGATACTTGTGAGTACAACTTTAGGTTTAAAACAAACAATGAATCTGTATGAAAACAATATCTTAATAAAAATGCCCTGCCTTTTTAATTTAATGTTGTCGTGCGTTGATTTGTAGAAAATGAGTCCTGACAGTTTGAGTTTAATGCAGCTCGACTTGTTTGATTCTTAAGATATGTTTGTTTTCCTCATTCAAGGAGCTTTCAAAACTGAAAGAGGTGATGGATGCACCCTTATGATTCTTTTTATTTTTATTTTTTACTATTTTTTTAGGTCAACTTTAATATTTTAGGTGTTGATTGTCATATCTCTGCCGCTTGGTTTCTGACACGGAGGTGATTGTGTAATGATGTTACTTTTGCATTGTCCAACGTTCCTTGTGCTCCAGTTCATTATAGGGCACACTTTAGTTTTGTATTAGTTACTTTTAGGAGTCTTGATGACATGGCATCAACTTTCTTGACTGAACTTTTCAACCCTCACACTCCAGCCAGAACACTGAGCTCTAAAAATCAAAAGTGAGAAAGCCTTTTGCTGATGTTTCCTTACTTGTGAAAAGTGTATTTTCACATAAGACCTACCCATTGTTGATCATTTTAACAAAGTAAACAACAGTACTTTTATTCACCGACTTTATGTCTTGGTTAGGTCTGATACTGTGGGTTTTATCATAGAACATCAGTTTGTTTACTTTATTCCTATTGAATTATTTCCATGGAAATTATACTTTTGTTTTAATACATAATGTTTGCAGCTTTTATACTTTGCATATTAACTGATCAACTGAGATATGGTCCAAATGGGCAATAAATCACCTTGATGCATTTTGCCTAGAAATGTTTACCAAAAACATATTCTTTTTGGTTTAACGCAGGATTGAAAGGTTTAATAAACACATTGTTCTTCTGTCTTTGTTTCCCTCCATCCAGCCTGTGAGCTGATGAATCGGGGCATCCTGGCACTGGTTAGCTCAATTGGCTGCATGTCGGCGGGCAGCCTTCAAACCTTGGCCGACGCCATGCACATCCCCCATCTCTTTGTCCAGCGTTCCCCGGTGGGAACTCCCCGTTCTGCCTGCCCACCCACCAGTCGTATTCCCGGAGCAGATGACTACACCCTGATGGTCCGCCCTCCAGTTTATCTCAATGAGGTCATCATGCAAGTGGTGTCTGAGTACAGCTGGCAGAAGTTTGTCCTTTTCTACGATTCAGATTTTGGTGAGGCAATACTTTTTTTTTCTGTTTGTCTTTTGCTATTTTTTAATAACCTCTTTCCTATGAAACCAATACAAGTAAAAACTTATGCAACAAAATTAGTCTGATCTATAGAGGTGGCGTTGCATGAATGATTTAATTTGCTTGATATAAAATTGTCAGCTTTTCCTCAGCATGACCAGAATTTTTTTTTTTAAATATATTAAAGTCATAGCACCTTATTAGGGACTGCCTAGAAAGGCATCCACCTATTATTATCCACCTGGAAAGGGTCTTGCTCTTCCTTTAACTCTAATGCAGCCCGAACTGCAATGTGTACCCCCACAAATATTATATCAAAACAACGGGCTTGGCACCGTGATATGTGCTATTACTTTTATTGGTGTTTCAAGTTACCATGGCGATGTCATTTGCAAACAAAGATGCCATTTTTCTCATTGAAACAAACTATAAATCAGCCATTTTTAGAGATATTAAGCAAAATTTTGGTGTGGTGGTAGCTTAGAGCAATGACCCATAAATACTGAATTAAAAAAAATAAAAAAATCAAGATGGTGACGAAAGCTAAATTGATGTGGCTTTAACTCAGCCTTTTTTGCACATATAGAGCTGAAATTGGGTTTGGTTATAGCTGAGAATGTTCTCCATCGCATACTGAATCCAAATCAAAACTCCAAGATGGCCACAATAGCTTAAAAAAACAGAAATACTATAAGTAATTATTTTTTTTTTTTTTCCCACATTGAGCTGAAATTTGGCGTGGTGGTAGCTGAGAGCAAACCCCAAAACATCATACTCCATCCATCCATTTTCTTTACCCCTTTATTCCATTTTGGGTCACGGGGGTCGCCGGTGCCCATGTCCAGCAATCACTGTGCGAGGGGCGGGGTACACCCTGGATGGGTCGCAAGTCCATCACAGGGCCACATAGAGACAAACGAGACAAACAACCATTCGCTCTCTCACTCACACCTAGGGACAATTTAGAGTTACAAATCAGCCTAACATGCATGTTTTTGGCCTGTGGGAGGAAACCGGAGTACCCGGAGAAAACCCACGCATGCACGGAGAGAACATGCAAACTCCACCCAGAAAGGCCCCCGGACCGGGATTTGAACCAGGGACCTGCTCGCTGAGAGGCAGCAGCTCTACCAGTTGCGCCACCGTGCTGCCAACATCATACTGTCAAATCAAAATTTAAAAAAGGCCACAATGTGGGAGTCTCCATAATGTTTCTCCAGGAACTTTCTAGTTCTTGTTGCACTCCTTGTTCCAAGCATACCTGACAACATGGCCTGGGACTTGTATCTGAAACACACAGGCAAAATGCATGCAGCTTTATTCCAGCATCACATCAGTTTGCCTGCTTGTGTGGATTTCTCATTTGCCATCCCTTTTCTCTCTCCCTCTCTCTTTCCAGATCATTAACTCTAACATTAGACTAGAGACATCTTATGTCCCTTTTATACTGTGGCACTTGCAGTAATTTATAGCTTTCCGCTGCACAATATCGTTTTGCTGTGTTCCTACTGGGTGCAGCATGCAGACCTGTTCACAGCATGTTAATATGTTTATGCATGAGGTTTGATCCTTGTTTTGCATGTTGGCTCTTTTCTAAGCTTCACTGTTCTGACTGCTTCATTGCAACTGGATTTGATCACAACTTTTTACACAATTATAAACAAGAGAGGACATAAAAGCTTTGCATATGTGTACAGTTACCATTGCACTATGGGCATTTCCATTTTGAACAAATTATACAATTATGAAGGGAAATCTGTGCAGAGGATAATAATGATGAAAGTAAATGTTCACCTCCAGTTTCTAAAGCATGCTTTTGGGATCCGTATCCATCCTCACAAACTGAGTTGGGATTTGCAATCACATTTTTCTTCTGAGAACAAGAAAATGTGCCTGTTTGTGCAAGAGTTTAGCACGTCTGCAGATGTGGATACACTGACAGGTGACAACTCCGAAATATATTGGGTCTGTTTGTGTTTTCACGTCACCTTGTGAGCTTCAGCTCAGCTTGCTTGGAAACCTGTCTTTGATGGAGGTAGAAAACAGTACCTAGTCCCAGCAACAGTCTGGGGAAAAAAAAAAAAAAAAGTGAGAGCGGATGCTTGAGTTGAGGCAAAACATGCCATGCAAAAAGCAGCATTTGAGTCATGCAGGTGAGAACACTGCTGTGGCAGTGCTCCTAATGGGTGGAAGCTTTTCAACACTTTCCATTTTGGATCTCACTTGAATGACTGATTTAAGTGTAGGTGCTTTGCCGTCTAATGGAAAACACTAAATGTAACATCTCTCAAAGGTGGGAGGACAGAAGTATAGCACACCTATAAAGTTTGAGCTCAAACCAGTGTAATAGTTTTCGGTCTATAGTGATTCTGTGTAGATTTACTCCTCATAGCCATAATAGAGCTCTATTTCACTCATTGCAGTCAATTAACACAATTAATGTGTTGTATGCATTGATCTCCAATGGGATCTCAGCAGTGGAATTGTTTTGCAATGTTTTCTCCTGACTGAACTTCAATCTTTCAGACATTAAAGCTTTTTATCTGAATATTGAATGCCTTATGTCCTCTAAAAGTAACTAGGGAGCCTTACCAGGCTGCTTATATTGGATGAATATTGACTTGCTGCTAATGTGGCCCTTCTGGAAATGCTGGTGTCACTACTTGGATGTCAGCATAATAAATGTTTGATTAAATCAACCCCAAGCTCCAGTTGATTGAAAATAAACATATCCAGGTAATTTTTTTCATTGTGGAAAATACAAGCATATAATCACACTTGGATGTGTGGTAGGAACTGCAGTCTCTGTATGTCAATTTGTTCATGTGATGTGCATAATGTGTGTGTATATATATATATATATATATATATATATATATATATATATATATATATATATATATATATATATGGATTCACGCAGGTGTCACAGGTATAATCGCATGTCCACATGGAATTATTTCCTTATACACTATCTTAGTTATATTTTGGGGGCAAAATGCCTTTGTTTTAGTGCCACTTGTGTATTGCTTTGTCTCAATTCAAATTAATAGTTCACCACTTAAAATTTCTAAACTGAATTTACACACCAAACGTGAACTAATTCACATTCATCAGTTTTTACCATGATATGATTTTCAAGAAAAAAGAAGAAATAGTCTGTGTCAGTCAGTTATGTTTCAGGTCTCCATCTTCTACTGCCTATTTCGTAGTCAGGTTGCCGAGGCAACAGGTCCAGGAGAAACCCAGACATCTTTCTCCCCAGCAACACTCCAGCTCCTCCTGGGGGACCCTGAGGCATTCCCAGGCAAAAGAGGATACACAATCCCCTTCAACGAGTTCTGAGTTTACCCCAGGGCCTCTTACTAGTGGGATGTGCACAGCCACCTTCAATCAGAGGCATCTAGGAGGCATCCTAATTAATTGCCTGAACTTCCTCAACTGATTATTTTCTATGCGAAGGAGCAGCAGCTCTACTACGAGCTCCCACCCTCATCAGGGGTACAGATGAAGCTCTACATACAATTTCAGTTTTGATAGTTTTAACACTGTCATCGGTTTTATAGTTTATTTAGAACTGGTGTCTGCAACCTGTGGCTCTTTGGTCCCTCTGCAGCGGCTCTTTCAAGCTTTGACTAAAACAGACATAAAACTGAATTTTATTAGTTATACAAACAAAAACAAAAGGACTAGTTCAAACAGTTTTCCTGCCATTTCTTTTGCAAATATGAACACTGCAGCGAGTACAAGGAGTAAAACATACTTTAACTTGATGCTTTATTTCTTTATATGAAGAACTGTCTGCATAGTAGATATTATTATTATTATTATTTTAAGATGGTAAAAACAGATCCCCTCCCTTTACAAGATTCTGGTCTTTTACTAAATATAGACATCTGTTTTATCCCGGTTCTTGCCAGCTTGCCTTCCACAGAAGTGGCATGCTGATAATACACAAACATAGACACTCCTATCTTTGTGAAAACACATTTTTGATGAAATGCATGTCCATTCTCTATGTTCTAAATCAGGAGTCTGCAACCTTTACGATCAAAAGAGCCATTTTTACGCCTACATTCACTACATTAAAACATGTCCAGAGCCGCAACAACCTGCTACAACTGTGGTTATAAACTTGTGGCCCATGAGCCACTTTAGGTTTGCTGGAGGGAGCTTTTGTGGCCAGTAGGGGTGACGTTATAAAGCAAAACATATCTAATGATTTTTAACATTTATTAAAGTTCTTGTAACTACAACAACTGGGTAAGTGTTAGTTTTGATCTGAATCAATCAGTTTAGATATTCTGTAACCTCCAGCAGCATTTATTCATCTGTCTTTCTTTGCCTAGACAACATAACATTGCAAGGTTCTATTATGCAGCGTAAGGCGAGCCTCTTTACAACTGCTGTCTTATTCCTGACAGATCTATTCATGCATGCTGACAAAACATTTTCAATCTGACCTTAACTGTATCTAATCAAGTGTGAAAGAGGGAACACCTTTTGTTCATGGCAACACAACCTTCACTGAACTTATTCAATTCAGAAACTGGCCTCTGAATTTTAGCTCACTAATAATATCTGCACATAAACAGAAATGCACTCAAATAGTTGTAACCCACTTAAATCCTTCAATCTCTCTGCTCTGATTCATCACTTGGATCCTGTGGGGTTTTGGGTTTTGCCAGTGATGTTCTCTCAGCCACAGAAGGCTCTTTAAAGATAGCACCGTGTTTCCCTAATGACCTCACCCTCTGTTTGAGAATAGTAAGGAGAAACAAGAGAGCACAGGAACGAGAAAATGACTGAGCAGAATAGAGAAGGCGACAAAGATGGTCTTTTAAGATGAGAGCAAAGTTCCCAGAAGGCCTCGTCTCTCTAGAAGGAGTTCTTTAGAGAACAGACAGTCGAGTGTGTCTTCTCAAATGAAGGTACAGTGCTACTGTCCCAGTCCCTATTTTCAGCTCTACTGATGCATCCCG